TCTTCATGAAGTAAAAATAGTTAATACTTAATCCATGGACGGATGTAATACAATCACATACACACACATGCTTGCTATTGTGATTAATTTTATTGTCAGACAAGAGTAATGTATGGATTTGAACTTTTTTATGACACGACTATCAGCTTGATAAACGCAACTACATATCGATGGCTGAGTGGAAGATTGACCTATCTCGGCATTCAGTTGGAAAACGCCCTATCTCGGAAAATATTTCAACAACGCCCTAATTCAGAATTTGGTTGAAGAACGCCCTATTTTTGAACTTGATTGAAAAACACCCTATCTCAGAATTCGGTTCAAAAATGCCCTATCTCAGCACATTTTCATTGCATTTTCGTTTGAGAGAGGGCATTTTTGAACCGAATTCTGAGATACATAGGGCGTTTTCCAACTGGCTGCCGAGATATGTCGATCTTCCACTCAGCCATCGATATGTAGTTGCGTTTATCAAGCTGATAGTCGTGTTATAAAAAAATCAAATCCATACATTACTCTTGTCTGACAATACAATTAATCACAAAAGCAATTATGATAAATTTGACACAAAGAGAAATTAATGTTTAAAAACAATAGAAATAGTTTGCATAGATTAGTGCTTTATTTTTTAAAGTAAAAATTAAAAGTTAAATTTTCTGTATTTTTTTTTTAAATTTTTTTATTTTTTAAGGGCATCCGTAAAAGGCAAAGCCTGAAAATTCTATAGAATTTCAAAAAAGGTCAAAGTAAAACGCAAATGATGTTGAGTAATCTCTAAAAAATCTAAGAAAATGCCAAAAAGCTTTAGCAGAAATCCCAATAAATCCCGTAGGATTCTGAAAACTTTCCGAAAAGTCCCAAAAAAATCAGGAAAAAAATACCGGAATCTTAACAAAATCAGTAAATATAACCCAGTAGGATAATTTCAGAGTCAACAGCGCTTTCGTAAGGCCTTCCTGAGAGTTGAGATCTTCCACTCTACAGTCCTTTCTCCTTTTGTTTTTGTACGGTTTTTGTGCGATTAGGAAGTCTGATGACCTACCATTTGTAAACAGTTGTTATTTTCAACAGTAATGTTTTTCATTTGAAACGGCCTCAAGCTAAATAAAATTCTTTAGTTTAGAAAAATTATTCATCTTTAAAGCATTTATGTACAATGTACATTGTACATATATCAAATATGTTTACATGGTATGTACATATATGTATTCACATGTACAGTTGTACTACCTGTTATGCAATTCAGACGGGAAGTGTCGACCACCCATTTGAACAATCCGACTCATTAATGTCAGGCACTTGTCATCACGGGTAATATAAAACACAACAAAAAAAAAAAAGAAATGATCATCCACAAACAGTGTAACTTGTAGTCACGCTTTGTAGTCATGAATGAGTACGAATATGAAAGTATGTATCACACAGATGCACATGCAAATACAGATGCATATACGTTCCAGTATATTTGCATTATATCGTATTTATGTACACTATAGTGCAAAACTGAGGCCAAGGTGGTTTTTCTCAAATATTTGCAAGGTTTTTAAAATTAATTTTTTTTGTTATATGGTTTTTTTTTTATAAAAATATGCTGCAGTGCATACCCAAAAATTTTCTAAAAATTCAGATTAAAAAGGTAAAAAGTTTGATGAAAATTTGTTGAATTTTTCCAAGCTCTGTATAAAAATTTAAAGTTTGGTTTATATGGGTTTGGTTAAAGCATGAACCATATTTTTTTATAAAAAAAATAACAAAATAATGTTAACTTTAAAAACCTTGCAAATATTTAACAAAAACCAGCTGGGGCTCAGTTTTGCACAATAGTGTATGTATGAATATTATCACCTTTCATTCGCTCACTCTAGCTATGGGTACTAATCTGAACTTTACATTTCCATTGCCATTGAAATGTTTTTCATATACTATATATGTATGTAAGTATAAACGGTAGAGTGGTCCAAAAACAGTAAAGTCGGAATTTTAATGCTGCCACCCCCTAGGCTTGTTCTATACGGATAAAAAATAACCCTATTTTCTATTTTGAAATCAAATAATATTTAGGTAGTGCTCAAAGCACTCGAAAGTATTTCACATATGTTTTTTATCTTCTGGTAGAAATGGTAGAAAATTCTTGATAATCAATATTTTTTTAAACTCTGGTTCTCTTCAGGAGACCTCCAATATTAATATCTAATTGATTATTTAACTATTTTTTAATACTAAAGATTTTTTATTGGTTCCCCCATTGCATTTTCTGGAGTTTTGCAGGGCCTATAAAATATAGTTACCATGAAAAAATGGTTAAAGAAACAATTGGGTATTATTTTTGTGAATCTCCTGAAGAGAAACAGAGTTTTCCGATAGAAAAATAGTGATTTTTAAGAATTTAATACCCTTCCTACGAAAAGTTGTTTTTTCCCCATATAAAATGCTTGGAAAGATTTGAGCCCTTTGAGCACTCCCTAAATATTTTTTGATTTCAAAATAAAAAATAGGGGTATATTTTTTCGGTAGAGAACAATCCTGGGTGTGGCGGCATTAAAATTCCGACTTTACTTTTCAACATGCATTTTTGGACCACCCTTATGTGCATATGTGCCTGCGCCTGCATTTTGTGTTTCTTTTTTGGCAACGAACCGTAAATGCGCCTAAATATAAAAGTATCTTCCATGGACGTAGACTTAGTGCAAAGCTCTCAAGTGTCGTATGTAAAATTGTGATGCGTAAAATATGTACATTTACAGGCATTTAGTCTGTCAATTGGTGTACTTATTTGCCGTATCTTTTTTGAGTAAATTGAACAACTTCTCAAACTAGGAATGACCATTGGTTGTGCCAATGTTTTTCACATATCGATGGCTGAGTGGAAGATCGACCTATCTCGGCAGCCAGTTCGAAAACGCTCTATCTCAAAAAACTTTTCAAGAACGCTCTATTTCAGAATTCGTTTCAAAAACGCCCTATCTCAGCTGCCGATTCAAAAACGCCCTATATCAGCATATTTTCAATACATTTTGAAGTTTTGAACCGAATTTTGAGGTAGGGTGTTTTTCAATTAAATTCTGGTTCTGGCTCTGACAGCAGATAAGTTAAATTATTATTGAGAACGACGGGGAACAATGGCCGGGAGAGCATCATGGATCAGAGCCGTCAGGTACTACAAATACACAATTGTTAATTATAGTGATAGAAATTAACAATTAATTAATGCTCAGTACCGAAATTTGACAATTTTTTAGATGGAACTAAATTTTAAATAAAAATTATTAAAAATAAATAAACATAAGCTGCAAACAATATTTAATTTCCTGACCTAATTATTTTGACCATAAGTGTATGTATTACTATACCACTAACGCACCTTAGCCAATTTCTTACAGAAACGCACTGCAGATGACGTTGAAAACTGTAAATACCTTTTATTACAATAAAACCGAGCTGATTACGATATCGATAATAATTTCGATGACGCTGTTTTTAACAAAATTAATACTAGAAAACGTATCGATAAAAAATCTTTAAATATATCGATAGGAAAATTATATCGATGTCAGTGACTTCTATACGATATCGATAACATAAATGGTATATGTATCGACAGAAAAGTTTGTAGTGATTAAAAATTAACAACTATAATAAATTGATAACAAAATCGATAGGTGTATCGATAATATATCGATAATTGCATCGATTCAAAAACGAAATCGAAACTTTTTCCGTAACCGTTTCTATAGCTATTTTAAAAAATGTGCATATCGATGGCTGAGTTGAAGATCGACCTATCTCGACAGGCAGGTCGAAAACGCCCTATTTCAAAAATTCTTTCACCAACGCTACATTCCAGATTTTGGTCGAAGAACGCCCTATCTCAGCTCATTTCCAATGTATTTTCATTTGAGATAGCGCGTTTTTGAACCGAATTCTGAGATAGGGCGTTCTTCAACCAAATTCTGAGATAGGGTGTTATTCGATAAAATTCTGAAGTGGGGCATTCTTGAAAAGTTTTCTGAGATAAGGCGTTTTAGAACTGGCTGCCGAGATAGGTCGCCCTTCCACTTCAAAAAAAATCGTTAAATTTATCGAAACGAAACTCTTCTATGCTACTCTTAAACGACATATGTATGTATGTAAATCGCACGAGTAATTTTCCAACTATTGGTTGGCAGTGGCTCAAACCTGGGCTCGAATCGTAACATACGTTATCGTATTACTCGTCACGTTAAAACACATTTTTCAGATTATGGCATACGTGAACGTACTCTTTGTCCCATTCAGCTTATACTGCCTAACGTATCACGTAATTTTCTTTCGTATCATTTTCGATCCGTGAACGGATGTTACGATTCGAGCTCTGGTCATCGTTTGGAAGATTGCTCGTCTACTAATGGTATATCGAGTGCTTTACGATTATGCAATTGGTTTCTAAAAGACTGCCATAATCGATGGGGTCTTGGAATTGAATTAAGTTTTTTTTGCTACTTTAAATATTTCCAAAAAGTTGTCCAGTAGGTGACAAACTAAAATTCTTTTATAGCAATTTTTCAAATATTTATGTATACACTTCTTTGAAGTTCTGCCGAGAAGCCATACCAATAATTCTATATTTCTATAAACATTTTGCATTGCATTTTAATATATTAACTTTGCTCTTTAATAATTTACATTTAAGTATATGTATGTATGTCTCTTATTAAAAATTAAAATCCATGAATGCATGTCTATATGGTAAGCCCAATTAACTTGTATCATAGTATGAACTTAATTGCATTCAATGTTCGCCATTTGTTTAATTTGATTTGTAGCAGTTTAATAATAAATATTCCTCTGCTACGCTCATTAATATTCGTAAACAAAAAACTTTACTCATATAATTGATGTAATTTTTTGCAAATCTCATTTAAGTAAAAAACGTGCATTCAACTTTATATAAATACACATATCAATTCAATCAATATCAATTAGTAAATTAATGCATCTTTATTAAATTTTTTTCCTTTCAGCTTACCGCACTAATGAGGGCAAACCATGGGTGTTGCCAGTGGTGCGTAAAACAGAGATCAAAATTACCAGCGACGAAACAATCAATCACGAGTATCTACCAGTATTAGGTGAGTACTATGAATTAAAAAGACGTGCATTTGCAAATAACCGCACATTTAAACACTTGCAAATTGGTTGCGGTTAGATTTGCGGTGCAAGCAAAAAAGCCAAATAGCAAAAAAGGTGCTTACATACGCATGTGCCACCATTTGCATATATGTACATAAGTAGTGTCTATATGTATAACTATTCATATGCTTTTGTTTACGTTTTTGTGTTTTTACTAATTTGCATCGTTTAATTTCAATTAAAGGTAACGACGCATTCACTAAAGCCGCCACAGCCTTGTTGTTGGGTGAGAATTCAGTCGCTATTGCTGAGAAACGTGTAAGTACAAAAAGCAAATAAAATTTTATTTTAAAACTTAAATATATACATACTTTCAAATTTAAAAATTTCCTTAATCATTTTAAGGCTTTTGGCGTTCAAACCCTCTCCGGCACCGGTGCCCTACGTATTGGCGCACAATTCTTGCGTGTCATTTTGAATCGTCGCGTAGCTTATTACTCAAATCCCACATGGGAGAATCATCATAAAGTATTCGCGGATGCTGGCTTCGAAACGCTGCGTTCATACCGTTATTGGGATCAAGAAAATCGTCGAATCGATTTTGAGGGTTTATTAGCTGATTTGGATGCTGCGCCTGAAGGTGCCGTTATCATATTGCATGCATGCGCACACAATCCTACTGGCTGCGATCCCACACAGGAACAGTGGAAGCAAATTGCCGACTTGATCGAACGCAAGAAACTCTTCCCATTCCTTGATTCGGCGTATCAGGGTTTTGCCAGCGGTGATCCGGAGAAGGATGCATGGGCAGTGCGTCACTTTGTGGAACGTGGTTTTGAGTTGTTTGTCGCACAATCGTTTGCCAAAAATTTCGGTCTTTACTGTAAGTTTCAATTAAAAGTGTGCTATTTTATGAATGTTTGATTTCTCTAATTTGTTTGTTATTTTTTTGTGAATCATAGGTGAACGTGTCGGCAATTTAACGGTGGTGCAACGCAGCGCTGCTACCTCGGAAGCGGTCGCATCGCAACTCACATTATTGGTGCGTGGCATGTACTCAAATCCACCAGCGTTCGGCAGCCGTATTGTTGGGACAGTGTTAAATGATCCTGAGTTGCGTAAGGAGTGGTGAGTAAAGCGATTTGTAGGCGATTATTTTCTATTGTTTATTTATTTATTTTTTAAATCTAGCACATTACATAACCCGCACCATATAAATCCAAATTTCAAACTTACATATATAAGCACATTAATAAATTACCCCTAAAATTTCTTGAGAGATTTTCGCTGTCTGTGTCACAGGGCATCTTTTTGGCTACCTTTCTTCTGCCAGTATTCCTAGACTTTATGTTAACTGCCTAAATAATATATTTACACATGCATATGTTTCGTATTATATAAATTAAATATACTATCTACTTAATTTACCTGCAAATAATAAATAAATAAATTTTTTTAAATAACTTTGACAGGATGGACTGCATTAAAACGATGTCAGGTCGTATAATTAAAATGCGTCAGGCACTTTTCGATCGCCTTACAGAACTCAAGACGCCTGGCACATGGGATCACATTGTCTCACAGATTGGCATGTTCTCATACACGGGATTGAATGGTAAGTGTATTAATAAAAGTGTCATCAAATGTATTAAACTCGTCGCTTCTTTGCTATTTACAGAAAAACAAGTACGCGTGCTGATCGATGAATTCCACGTTTACTTGCTGAAATCGGGACGCATTAACATGTGCGGTCTCAATGAGAATAATGTCGATTATGTGGCCAACGCTATACACACGGCTGTTACAAAAAATTTGTAATTGAAGTGAAAATTTATGCACGCATTTAGAAAGAGAATTATGACAAAAAGCGAAAAAAATTTTATATTTAGCGAAATTTTAATATTCAATGGCTTTCAAATAAGTACACACATTAACTAATTAGGGAATGTTTATTAAGATGTACAATGTACAAACAAACAAACATTTAATATGCTAGTAGTTAATAGACAGCAGTCCAATAACATCATCCAAGCAACAACAAAACAACTGAATAACCTCTCAAATTGATGACAACTCCCCCACTGAGAAAATGAATAAAGGCGCAAAATAAACAAATAAATGCAACCAACAGAATTTATTTTGTATTAGTAATGCAATAAATGCAGAACCATAATCAAAGCAAAATACAAATATTAAGTAGAAACCGCCAAAAAACTGTTTATAAACCAAAAATGAAGTTTGTTATAACCGACGCTATGTATTTACACAAAAACTTACGTATATAAATTATATGTATATTATTAGTAAAATATGACACATAACAAATATGTACACCGCAAAGAAGTTATACTCTATTTGTAATACTTAGATGAAATGTATTAAGCGTTTAGCGAGCCGGTTCCTCATTATATTGAATGTATACAAATATTTTGTGTTAAATCAAATAAGTAAAAATCAATAGAAGAAATTAATAAATGTATTGTTATTAAAAAAAATCAAGAATAAATAAAAAAGTTATTTATAAACTAACCAACAATAATTTTTGTTGGTAAAGGATTGAATGGATCTGCTGAAAGTAACTAACATACCTTTCATTTTGGTCCGACCCTGATGATGAAACAGCACATCTCCTGGGACTACCGTTAGATGAGGTTGACGAAGAGTAGCTGATCTAGGCACGGCTATAAAAACCACAATATACTGTAATAAAAATAACAATAACGCTGAGAGTCGTAACATTCGTTACTCAATCAACTCTAAACTTGTAAGCACTTTTCATTGCTACTAACTTTGCTGTTGTTTGCACATACAAATTTTTTAAGAGCCCGGGCAACTCGCAGCTTACCTCTACAGCTTCTCCATTAATCGTTACGCTGGGTCCGAACCCCGGTGGCAAACGATAGGTTTTGAGAGCCTTAGTGAGCGCGTTGACGCATGTTCTAGCCATCTCCTCAACTCATGAGAATAGGTATCGCCAAGGGGCTGTATGCCTTGAACCGCTTCACCACATCCTACCTCAGATCTTGCTTAGAACGATATTAAGTGCTTTGGCACTTCTGTACTTAATCCAGATTCTGTCTAGAATGGAAGCGTGTGCCTTGTCAGTTATTCGCAGCTGGTTAGACGCCCTAAGTTTCTTAACTGTGGGGCTTTCCACGTAGATGTCTACAAATGAATTGTCCGGAAGTGTCGTTGTTTTTGTAGCAGGTAGTAGTGGTCAAGCCGGGCTTCTGACTCAGCAAGCCTATGAATGCCGTTTTAGGTGCACAATCACCGGACATTGATGAGACGGAGCTTCATCTGCCTCGGGAGACAAGAACCACAATATCCCAACTTCGCTCTGGCTACTGCTGCACCCTATTGAGGCTGCACGCTTCTTAGAATTGCTGTTAGTGGAACTTGACGACAACGACTCAGATATTAACTGATCTGGGCGGGGTTGTTGTAGCCGCTACAACAACAACAACAACAAGGAAGCGGCCGACGTCAATGGGCGTAGGCGATAATATTTCCGGTGTCAGGGCTGTTTGTTTTAAGGTGCTTGCGAAGAGCTATTGTAATGAACTTGCTCGCATGCTAGGCAGGTGTTTACCGCTTTTGAGTTCAGCGCAGGGAGGTGCCTGTCCAAGGTTTTTTCGGCAGTTCAACTTTCTTAAAATTAATGGGCGGCGTTCGACCTCCAAGAACGATGTTGTCCTTAAAGGCGCTATGGACCGTCTTGATCTTAAAACCATGTGCGCTTCATCAAACCGATGGTCTTCGTATGGCCCGATGCCCGTTCTGCAGACGTATAGCTGTCATCTTCCTTCGAAAAGTTTCACCAAAGCCGTTTGGGTTGTCGACCAAATTTCTCCCGTTGTATACAGACCTTCATGGTTTCATAGTACTGCGGTCGTAGCCCCAATCTTTTCTAATTGTACTCAAGCAACCAAGAAATAATACAAATTTGCTCAGATATACATACATATATTTTTTTTAAAGGCAGCTGCGAATCTATGTTTATACAGATGGATCGAAACTCGGCAGAAAAAATAATGGTCGCGTTTGATCGGTAGAGTTCCTGATTACTGCAGCCTTTTTCATGTCGTATTTATGATACGATAAAGTATATACATACATACATTTCACTGACAAGCAGGCGGCTATTAGATAAGTCCCTGGGACAAATGTCGCTGACTTCAAAAATAGTTGCTCAATGCCGACAATCTCTTAACGAGATGGCTGAGACATTACCTGGCCATTCCGACATCAAGACAAATCGCGAGGCAGATGGACTTGCTCGCCATGGTACGACATTTCCAAAAATAGATATCAGTTATACACTTGGTATCGCTGTTCAAATATGCAAACTTATACCAAATGAAAAGTTCATAGAAATTTCTAGTAAAAGATAGCTAGTCGAGCTAATTTGGCAGAAAACTTTGGCCAGCCATAAATGCCTAACGCCCCATTTCTCTAAGCAGCCGCATCCGCATAGTGGCTGTAGTTCTTACCGGACACTGTCTGATTGGATTGCACGCAGCTGAACTAGGCGCACCCTCAAACAACTTCTGCAGAAATTTCATGGACCAGAACGAAAAGGAAACAATTAAACAGCTTTTCGGGTAGTTGAAAACCGGAAAGCAAAAAATCTTGACTGTCGTTTCCTTGATGAACTGTTAGATCTCGAATTAATAGGCATAAGGAAGCCTCTCCACATTTTGCAGAGTACGAATTGGTTTTTAGAGTGACGGATATAACTGCAAAACCCACGCGATATAACAAAGGAACCTTAGTTTAAGTTAGTCCCACGATTGAGAGTTAGTCCAGCCTGTCTAGTTTTTTAACAACGATACATTTTCAACTTCCACTTCAAAGAGTAAAGTTTTTTTTGCCAACTATTCGTATTCTTCTAACAAAAACTATAAAATTTCTAACACGCACGAAGCTTAAAAGTTAATACGAAAACAAAAATAACGCGCTTAAAAGCTCATTGTGTAGCTGCACTCTAATAATGCCACACTCATTCCCCGCTTTTCTTTAATCTTTTACTCACCTATTTTCTGCTTATTATCAATTAATGTTGCTGTAATTGGTTAGGCAGCGGAAGCGCAAGTCGAACATTATATTCGCTGCAAGCTATTAAAAAAACCAAAAGAAAGTATTTCAACTTACAAAAACCGAGCAAGAAAACAAGCTAAAACTACTTAAAATAATAAATGAGGAAAACATTAAAAATGGAGCATACAAAATTTAAGCTCTCGTAGCCGTCGTCGGTTTGTTAGTCGCTCATAATTACTATATTCGAGAGTGCGCCGCGCAACACTATTCCAACGCCCCTAATTACCATGTTATTACAAATGTTTGTATGTATATATGTAGGTATATACATATATAGCTGTATGAGCTACGTTCTTGTTTTTATGTATGTATGTACAATAGTGTCTTATCTACAAGCTCATTAATCTTTGAGTTAATTTACTCTTGATTTCTTAATTTTGCTCTAATTTTTTTTAGAAAATGTTAAGTCGGCGCCTCATGTGCTTATGGAAAAAAAAGAAATTTAGTGAGTAATGGCTTCTCTACTATGCATAGTTAAGCATTGATTAGTTCACTATAATTTGTAGAAATTATGGCGGAAGTGTTTGAATAGGTTCATAATAAGTCGATTATTTGAAAGTAAAAAAAAAAATTAAAAGGTGCATATTTTAAGTGATAAAGATTCATTAAACAAAACAAAAATCTGGAGCTTCAATAGCACCAATATAATAAACAGTCGCAGAAGTTTCAGTGAACCAAAAGAATGGACATTTAAAGGTAAATGTTTATATGAACTTTTGCAGAAAACCTCTATATGGGTGGCGCTTGAACGTACTTAGCTTCCTCACAAGATGTGAAACGATTTTACAAGATCTTCTTGTGTGGGCGAAATCCCGAAACAACTAGAGGGATTCTCGAAGTCTTGCAAAGCCCTTGTACGTTGCACGGATTGCACGGGAAATCTCGGTTTTCGAATGCAGTAGCTGTACAGTCGGTGCATCGTGCAAGCGCTTTGCAAGACTTAGAGAAACCCCCTACTGAAACCAATTCCCTAAAACATTCGACCCTCTACAGACAAGGAAATTTATGTATCTTAAGATAAGCGAGAGAACTATTATACATAAGATCTATGGCTTTGTTTGCGTGGGCGACGAATAGTGAAGAATATGGAACTAATACGAACTGTGCGAGCTTTTTAATGACATGGACATACTAGTTAAGCGCATAAAAATATAAAGGCTGGGTGAAAAGACACTTCGACTATGCACCCAAGGGTGGACAACGAAAGCAATCGCGCCCACGAACGCAATGGATGGACCAATTGCAGAAGAACTTGTCGGTAACTGGGACAAATAACTGGTGGAAATTCGCAAAGGAGAGATGCAACTGGCGTAGCTTTTTGGTCTCTCTTCGAAGCAACAAACCTTTTTTGTGCAAAAAAAAAGAAGAAGATCATAAATCGATGGTTGCGGAGATTAAGCCGCCTCGCTAATCTGCATTACTGATAAACTCAGTAAAAAGACACGTCGATATCACTAAAACAATTCTTCATTTCACTGTGTTGGATCCTAACGCTCTGGGAATGTACACATAACAACGAGTATAGTGATTTTGTTTTATATAAACTTACAGTTATGTATTAGACCACAAGCCTTCTCCATGGCCAAGGTCTCCAATTGAAAGGCGGGCTATATGATTGCCGTTTCAACTCTTTCTTCCATCCTTGAGCCATAATTCCATGGTAATACCAGCAATTTTTGTCTGAAGGCACGCATCCCTCTCTTCGCTAGCTGGAAATCAATCAAAATCCCCGCCCATTTACTTTAACAATTTTTGTTTCCTTTTGTAATGAAGACTGGTGGCGTTTCAACCATTATTGAAATGTCCGCTAACAGCGCCTGATATACCGAGACATGCGAGTCTCTTCACTCTTCCGATTATTTTCTGATTGCTTTTTTTCCATAAGTTATGGCTTACCAGACACCACAGTTTTTTCCGAATATCCTTTTGCAAGTATGGTATGCTGCTAGGCCCTTCTCTGCTCTCTCATCCCGGTTACATTTCCATGTTAGCCT